TTTCTTCTATTGGTCTTAATAATTTTTTTATACTTAAACTAAAATTGCTATGAGCAGTTTTTTTTTTTTCAAACAACACATCTCTTTAATTTGAAGAATCATACTTTTCCCTAATTCTTGATTTTTTAAATTTTTTTTGAAGAGTTTCAGTCTCGTGGTTGTAATTATTATGGTTCTATCTAATGGTCCTGAAAATGTATTTGGTTGAACTTTTTTTTCCTCGCAACTCTTGAAAATATTCATTTTAAAACAAAACACAACTCTTGATAATCTATCAATGTACCTTTTCAGATTACTNACTTTTCCCTAATTCTTGATTTTTTAAATTTTTTTTGAAGAGTTTCAGTCTCGTGGTTGTAATTATTATGGTTCTATCTAATGGTCCTGAAAATGTATTTGGTTGAACTTTTTTTTCCTCGCAACTCTTGAAAATATTCATTTTAAAACAAAACACAACTCTTGATAATCTATCAATGTACCTTTTCAGATTACTAAAAGTATAACGTTTTACAGATGCAATTTTTTAAGAAAATTTATGTGTGTTTTTTTCTAATATAGGTATGATTCTTAGTACTCTTGAATATAATGTTTGATTCATTATATAGTTTTAAACGATCTTTAAAAATTTAATGTGGTGTCTGCAAAAATAAATTAATAGAATTAGTTTCAGTGAAACTAAACTACCATATCCAAACCAATCTGGCTGTAAGAAAACAACCTAAATTTTTTTGTGTAATCTCTTATTCTACTTCTGATAAAGTCCATTTTTTTTTGTATTTCTAAACCAGTTTGTATGGAGGTACTAAGCCTCATAGATTTAAAAATGTCGTTCTTTGCATGATAATTACAGTGTTTTGAAACATATTATATTATTTAATTAAAAGATTTAAACTGTTCCATCATTTCAACAAATTTTAAAAGTTTGTCTTCTCATATATAAAAAGATAAAAGAAAATGACTGCGACTTTAATATTAAAGTTTACTTAATATTGTTATGCTAAACACATAACATNCTCTAATTAACTATATATGTTTAATTTTTTTATATGATATCGAAGATTGATCATACAATAGATGGTTTAACATGCCAAAAATATTATATGCTAAGTGAATATAATATGATCAAGTATTACAAGTACATCATTTAATAAAATAAATAATCAACAACCGGAAAATCATACCCGCGCTGGCGCGCGGGTCAAGGTCTAGTTTTAATTAAATAACTAAATTTTCTATTTTTTAATCTTAAAATACTAATTACTTGATATGTGACGGTAAAGATTTAGAACATTTCTTCACTCTCTCTCCTATTTTCTTTTTTTTATTTCTTTATTTTAAGAGCAATTTAACTAGAATACCATGAAAGCTTATGAAATTAGCATATTATCAGAGTGATGAAAGAGACTGTGTACGTGGCACAGGAAAAGGTGATAGAAAGACTAAAACACCCTGCCCGTTGGACGTTTCACCTTCCCGGTTTTGAATTTGTGGGTAGTTGTGTTTGACACAAGACCATCAATAGATTTTACACGATAAAAATGAGATTTCGTTTAGATTAACTTCATTTTTTTTTATCTTTTTCTTTTTCTTTTTTTGTAACACACATTAGCTTAAGTTGCATCGATAAGATAAATTTATTATCCATGCTTCACAAAATCTCTGAACCAAATCTTTGAAAAGATTATGCTCAGATTTTTTATAGGGTTTAGAGTAATTAAAAAATTACAAGTAGTCTTAAACCACTAGTAAGATCCAATATTACCAACAAATAAATATAGATTAGTCTCAGTCACTTGGCCGACAACGATTGCAAATACGCAGATAGCCACTACATTAGCCGGATAAGATTATATTTATCGTCTTAATATAAACTTTTACTCATCTAACAAATGGTTGACTATATACCTAACAAATAAACCTTAACCCAATAATCTCAACCCTAAACCCTAAACCTAAAATTCTACACTCTAAATCCTAAACCCTAAACCCTAAACCGTAAATATTAAACCCTAAATCCTAAACCCTAAGCTAAACCCTAAACTTCAATTTCCTAAACCCAAACCCTTACATATCTCTTAACCCTAAACCTTAACACAAATCCCTTACATTACAAGTGGACCTAAACCCTTAGTACTGATCTAGTATCCCCGACATATAAATATAGGTTGGCTTCAGTCACTTGGCCGGCTACGATTGCAAATTTCGTGGATAAATACTAGATTAGTCGGATACAATTATAATTAACGTCTTCTATAAACTTTTACTCATCTAACAAATGGTTGACTATAAACCTAATGAATAAACCCTAACCCAATAATCTAAAACCTAAATGTTACACTCTAAACCCTAAACCCTAAAATCCTAAATCCTAAACCCTAAATACTAAACCCTAAACCCTAAACACTAAGTTAAATCCTAAACTTCAATTTCGTAATCCCAAACCCTTGCATATCTCTTAACCCTCATCCCTTTAACACAAATCTCATAAATTACAAATGGTCCTAAACCATTAGAACTAATCCAATATCCCCAATAAATAAAAATATGTAAGCCCAAACCCTTGCATATCTCTTAACCCTCATCCCTTTAACACAAATCCCTTACATTACAAATGCTCCTAAACCATTAGGACTGATCCAATATCCCCAACAAATAAAAATATGTTAGCTTCAGTCACTTTGCCGGCTACGATTGAAAATTACGTGGATAAACACTAGATTAGCCGGGTACGACTATAAATAACATCTTATATCAATTGTTACTCATCTATCAAATGGTCAACTATAAACCAAACAAATGAATCCTAACCCAAACCTACAAACCTTAAACCCTTAACCCTAACCGTAAACCTTAAATACTAAACCCTAAAGACCAAGCTAAACCCTAAACTTCAATTTATTAAACCCAAACCCTAGCATATCTCTTCCCTAAACCCTTAACACAAATATCTTACATTACAAGTGGTCCTAAACCATTAGTAGTGATCCAGTATCCCCGACAAATAAATATAGGTTGGCTTTAGTCACTTGGCCGGCTATGATTGCAAATTTCGTGGATAAACACTAGATTAGCCGGATATGATTATAATTAACGATTATAATCATATCGTATCTACGCCGAAACGTTTGACAGACGTTTTGTGTTTGGACTCCAAATCTTCTGCGTCAGACGTTTCGGCGTAGATACGATATGATTCTAATCTTTAATTATAATCATATCCGGCTAATCTAGTGTTTATCCACGAAATTTGCAATCGTAGCCGGCCAAGTGACTGAAGCCAACCTATATTTTGTGTCAAACACAAAACGACTGACACAAAAGATTTGGATGATCAAAGATTTGAATATCTATGCAGAAACGTCTGACACAAAAGATATGGTGTATCTACTGTATCTACAACTCCTAGCGCATGGAAGAATGGGTGCTACCCGTTGGTTAAGGTCAGGTGAGAGGTTATGACGAAAGGGTATGAGGGCAAAACAATTCGTTAAACAGTAACAATTTTTTTTCTCTTTGGTATACCACAAATTACTCATAAGTTTTTTTGGTAGAAGAGCAAATTTCTCTATTTTTAATAGTGGGATCCTAATTATAAAAACTCCATTGAAAATGGTCTTATTCACTATCATTTTTTATCTTGTTGACTAATGTGTTCCTAACTTATGTTTTTCTAGTAAAAATGTTAAGTTTTTTTACCAATTTTCATTTTACAGAAATTACATGAAAGATTAGTAGCATAGCACATAAATAAAATCTACTAAAACTTAACAAGAAGTGTTATTGATAAAAATTAAGAAAAAGATAAGTTAGTTATCATCTCCCTGTTAGGTGTGTCCCAAGTCATGTTATTGATAAAACTTAACAAGAAATGTATTTTCTTAGCTCTTATTTAGTGTAGTTCTAGCTTATGTTGACTTAAAAATCATTTTATTGAATACTTCTTTTTCATTTTATTTTAGTTGAGAACTTTTTTTTTATCAAAAAAAAAGTTCGAAACCATGAGAAACAAACAAAGATATAGCAAACTATCTGTTCCAATTTATCAGAATCCATTGATCTTGAAGCTACGCATGGGATATGAATTCCATCAATAGAATTGTATCTTTCCTATAAACTTGCATATACATAATTAAGTCTAATCTAGGTAGGAGATTTAACCAAATTGAATCTTAATTGGAACAAGTCTTCAAAAGTTTGAATTTTTCAAATAATATAGTCACATATAGAAATGAATATAGGCTGGCTCATTTGTTTGAGGCAACCCATTAGCAAATTAACAATTAGCCATTTGTCTGTAATTCCTGTTATTAAGTATTAATACTGCAATATATTTTAAAAATAATTAATAGGTATAAAATTCAATAAAAATACAGATATCATGTTTTCTTCAATTCAACTTATCCTTATTGGAAAGATAAAAAGAATTCATGTAAAAAAATCTGAGATCTAATTACACCGCATCTAATCAGTATTGGAAGATAAAATAACCATTTCAACTCACAGCTAAAACCTTATATTGGCCTTTTAATTAGTCATAGAATATGAAAAAAATTATATATATAAACAGATCGAGTGTAGAGAGCAAGTCGTAATACTCAACTTCTATAGATATTATCATTTGATTCTCTCCTTGGCTATTTGATAATCCTCTGTTTTTTATTGTTTCTGTTAACAAAACAGTTTTCAGAAAGTCAATCTCTAATTATCTAAAGACCTCTATACTCGAGAAACAGATGAATTTAAGAAAATCAAAAATATATTTTTTTTCTTAAGATCATTATTATTTCCAATTATATATTTTTTTTTTCAATTTGTTCGTGGAACACACTGATTCATTGCCTCCAATTTTTTTTTGGATGATTTTTATTTTTTTTCATCAAAAAGGCCATTTGTTACATCAGGTGCATCTAATTTCAGTTTTCTTTTGGAACTTGAGTGTAACAAAACAGAACAGTTGTAGAATATTAACAGATGATTTTTATTAACTTTCGTTTGGAAAAATGGCGTCTTTAGAAATGGTTTCGATAAAGATGTTTGAATGTGTCCCGAGTGATCGTAGCAAGAAAGAAAAGGATCTCAAAGTTTTAATCAGAGATCAATCCGACAATTTTCGTGTCTTACCTGTGGATGATTCTCGAAGTAAACAAGACGGGAAAGAGGTTCTTGAATGTTCTTCAAGATCCTCTGTTTCCGAAACAGAGGACTCTCTGACGTTCATTTCTTCTGCAGAGACCAATTCAAATCCGTTTTATAATCTAGTTGAAACAGAGAACACGTCAAGAAATGAGATCATCATGGGAGCTTCTTCTCTGGTTCAGATATGGGAAGCTAGGTCGCGACCGTCTAGCCCGACTCGAAATCATTTCCTTCTTGATAGCTTATTTTTTGAATCTCCCATTGACGAGGTAAGAAACAACGGCGAAGAATTAGATTGGTGTTTACAGTCAAACATTTCAGATTCTTGTGAGAAGGAGAGAGAATCAAAATGTTCACCTGCGTTGGTAAGGATAAGAGGACGGCAAGCATTTGAAGATTTCTCGATAATGATTCTGCGTGAAAGGAAAGCGTATCTCGAATGGATCTCTGGTCTCACCACGGTTTCGAAGTTCTCACCTCGTGGATGCGAGCGTCTTCAGGTACTTTTATTTCATCTGTAAACTGGTAATATAATAGTGTTGAGAAACTTGATTGAGACAAATACCAGTTTTTAAAGTTTTTTTTATTAAATATGTGAATGAATAATTTACAACTTTAAGATCTGTATAGGACCGATAAACTAATAAATGGTAATAGATAGATAGGTACAATTACTTTTTACAGTAAATTTTTAAAATGATTCTCTAGATTTATACTACATCCATCCTAGTGATATTTTACTGGTGCAGTGGAATTTAAGTCATCTAGATTGCGATGATGTTTGGTTACTTTGATTTATCACATTCTTTTTGTTATTGTTTAGTACATGCTTAGGATCAGATCTTTTGAAAGGTGCATCGCGATCCGAGAAAGACATCTGTTTAAATCAGCAAAACGGTCTTCAAGTGGGTCTGGTGTGATGAATCTCAGGTGCTAACAAGCTTAGTATTAATGTTCTTCAGCTTGTTTTTTTCACAGCCTTTTTTTTTCCACAGCCTTAAACCAATTTATATTGAATCACCAAATTACAATCACACTGCAGTGATAGGTACAAGAAAAATACGGGAAAGCCAAAAATAGCCAATGAAGCTATAATGAGTGAAGATGATATAAACAATAAGAATAATTTAAAGAAGCATGAAATTGAGAGGAAAGCTACAGAAGAAGGAGAAGGGTCAGGAGAAACTACAAAGAATGGTATTGAAATGGGAAGTGTAGAAACAAACAATACATTGAGTATCGCGGAGAAAGTGAATCTGTGGGACTCTAAGGAGAGAACTAATATGAGAAAAACTATGGGGGAAGATAAAAACGAGGGAAAAGCTGCAAGAAGCAGTATTGAAGTGGAGGCCCTAGAGGTAATCGATATGGAGAGTACTTATGGATATGGAGTCAGTCCGCAAGACTTTACATCGATGATTAGTTTTGAGAAAAGAAAGGGAGAAGAAAATGCGAGTAGCGTATCTAGAGAGAGCCATACTGATGAAATGTCTTCAAAAGACATGGTAGGTGAAGATGAACATGAAGATTACAGTGGAGAGAGTGTGAACTATGATTGGGTTAGCCCCATATCGCGACCACGGAGTTATTGGGACGATCTAAGGAAGGAACGGGAGCTGGAGATTATCAAGAAGCATTCAAAGAAAGATGATATTTTTCAGAAATTAATCAAGGAGTATGTTCAATGATCTATTTTTTCCGATAACTTGTTTAAATTTCTGGTGTTTTGAGCTTGTGATTGATTGTACAGAAAGACGGTTTTTAGCTTCCTGACAAGCGATTTTCGGAAAGAGATTGAAAAAATTCTGATCTCATGGCCACAAAAAGGGTTAGAAATGAAAGGAAGTCATGTGGATGGAGAAGCTAGTGAAGAGTGCTCAGCAGAAAACCAAGGGAAACTAAAAGAAAGTGAAACAGAGAATGTAGATCTTGAAAGTGTAGTTGTATGTGATGGTTTCAGCCAAGACTCAGCAAAGAGCACGATGAAAACGTGGAGCTACGAAGATCATGAACCCTACCTTAAGGATCATAACTATACCTCGTCTGTGAGTTGTGCTCTGTTTTTTCTTCTTCTTAGGTCAGTATGGTTACGTGTTAGTGAAGTAACAAAGTTCTGTTTCACATAGGAAGCACAGATGATATGTGATCTCAGGGAAGAAGTTAAAAAGATGCAAAGAGAAATGCTCGAACTAAAAGGCTTTGTCAAATCTTGCGTAGATTTCCAGAAATTCAAATCAGATTCAGGTGAGTAAACTTTTAAAATTATTTCAATTTAGAACCCATCAAGATGTAACTGTAACCATTAGCTATCTTAAACTCAGTTTCAGATTCTTTGCAAAGAAACTGTTTTGTATGCTTCGACAAGCCTATAGACTCGCTTCTATACAGGTACGTACGTAATGTATGCTTGCCGAACCTGACGGTAATTCGGTTCAAACGCAAACGCTGTAAACAAATCACGGCTTCGTTTTGCAGGTGTGGACATATGTGCACGTGTCTGAAATGTGGCCATGAGCTTCTATGGAGTACTAAGAAATGTCCGATCTGTATGGCGCCAATTATAGATGTTGTCAGAGCATTTCTTGATTCTTAGGGATCAAGAAACAAATGAAATCTTTACCAAAAAAAAAAAAGAAACAAATGAAATAATCTACCAAAAAAAGAAAATGAAACAGAAAATAAAAAGAAATCTTTACCCAGTATTGTAAAATATTAATAAAGTAAAGTTTTTTTTTTGTTGCTATGTTATTAACTTTTCATGTGTTTCTTAACATTTACACCCAAAAAACCTTTTCATGTGTATGATAAGACTGGTTTCTCGTTGATGATTTTAGGTCATTATGTTAATGTGTTGGCTAAAACCGTGGCAGAACAAAACATGAAAAATGATAATTAAGGGACCCCTTGTAACGACTAGATATGTAAACTGGGTAGAGACAAAGTTTTACATATCTCTTGAAGAGTTTCTTTCAGATTGAAAAAAAAAATTATCAGCAGCCTCGAAATTTAGTAATAACACTCATACTAGGTGACTATCCGCGCACATACACAGAAAAAAATCTATATATATTATTAACCGTTAAATATTAACTTTGATCATTTAACTATTATGTCATAGTCCCCAAATGTACAGTCATATATTGTTAGTATAAAGGTTGATGAGTAAGATCATGTTTGTTGATATTTTATTATTTAAGCCTATTTAATTTACATTGAGATTCAATGACATCATCTGGATGTTATAACTCACTATCACTTCGATATGAAGAATTGTATTTTTTTTTGAAATGATATAATCAAATAATATTTGAGATCGGTGCTTGCGCGGAATAAACATTAACTATATATACAAATTATTTATACACATTATTATTTATTTTGTGTTCATTTATTTATTATGCATTAATAAATATATTGAATAATTGAGAAGCAAATAACTATTATGTATATAATTAAATGAAAATAACACATAAATAAAAATATTCCATCTTTATATTTACAAGATTTTTTGTCGATAAGAAATCAAAATAATTATTTATTTATTTTATATGATATATAATTAAATTTAAAAGATATTGACATAAATATATAATATATTTAATATGAATTTTTATTAATTGATATTTCGTACTTATATGATTTTATTAGCATTTTATATTTACTGTAACAAAATATTATTTTTATTAATATGCATATTTATTAATTGATGCTTTCTACTCAATGCAAATTTTGAAACTAACATGGTTATGTATTTTATATATGATATACATTTTAAACTATATTGATATATATATATATATATTATATTTATCCTGAATATATATTAAATGAGAGTTCACCTTTATATAAATTTATGATCATTTTTCTTTTGTTATAACAAAAAATTTAAATCTTTGATCATAAAAATTTCAATGTCGATTTAAAATTCTTAGTAATTTATAATTTTTTAAAAATTAAAAATATAACATATAAAAAAATCTAAAGTTTTTATTATTTGATTAATGATTGTTTAATTTCTTTTAAGAATAAAAAATTATATAAAAATGATAGAGGATAGAAAAATTGTTATGAAAACTTTATTATTCAAATCATTAACTATCATATATTTGTTAACAATATTAGATAATTCTGTAGCTTTATTTAAAGAAATAAATTAGACTATTATTATATACTCTATAAATTAATTTGATAGTAGGTTTAATAAAAAGTGTAATATATGTTAAAATCGACCAACCTGTTTTGTAATGATTCTAAAAGTCAACGTAGTGATGACACGTTGTAATATTCTAGGATTAATATATAAGGGATTTAGACATGTATGTGTTCTTATATGGCAAAATTTGTCAAACTGATGATACAATATACCTATACAAAAGTATGATTAATTCACTAATTAAAAACAAATCCCCATCTAGGTTTAAATATGATATTTTTTTACGAAAAGAAGCAACATGCATGGGATCACTACATATATTATATATGCAAAAATAAGTTTATAATTACGTAAAATCTATAATAGTTGAGTTTCAAGATTTTATTTTTTCCGAAAAGAAGCAACATGCATGGGATCACTACATATATTATATATGCAAAATAAGTTTATAATTACGTAAAATCTATAATAGTTGAGTTTCAAGATTTTTCAGTGGTCCACCTCAATATCAATTGGATCCCACTTCAAAAAAATGTGAAAAGGATCAATTCCATTATTCAAAGCTGAGTTGTTAAGATATAAAACTAACATTTATACCACTAAATTAAAGTATAACTTGTGGACTGATGGTTGAAACTAATATATATTTATGAAAGTTAGAAATTCTGGCTTCTTTGGCTTCTTCTGATGGTCGGGTCTGCAAGTGTATTATGGGTTTCAACTTTAATTGGGCTTCATCACGTTATATGAAGAAAATTCTAAAATTTACAACAGTTATAGTTTTCTCATATTGTAAATCGCCGTCGTTTAACATGAGTTAAGATTCCTTTCATCATCGTCTCAGACATGCTTGAGTTACAGAGTTGCACCGTGTATGTGTTCGTAATCTATTTTTTTTCACCGGTGAACTCTTCATCTCTCCATCTTACATCGCTTGATCATACATATTCCTGATTTGTAGCCCTTCTGTAAACCCTATATATATGATTTTCATCTTTGATGAACTCAATCTGCATCTCAACGAAACTCATCAATTCATCTTAGCTTTAACCATCTTTTAGAAAATGTCCCTCTCTACTTCTCCAGTTCCTAAAACCAGCGTCACCGGCGTGCGTCATTCAACCTTCAAATCTCTCTGTCGAATCTCTCTATCATTTTAAGCTAAACATAAGCCATACCAACCAAATTAAAATATAGAATCTCATCAGTCAGTATGAGTTTTAGTAAACGAAAATAGTAACAATAGAAACAAAGTCGTACAACAATTTCAAATCTTCTTATTACAGATTCGAGAATGCTGAATCAACAGAGGTTTACTGAGTAAGGAATGCGACGGAAACAACTTTAACAGAGGTTTGCTGAGTAAGGAATGAGATATTCGACTCTTTACATAAGGAGTTTGACCATAAGTTCAACTCATTGCCAAGATACATTATGTTGGAACTACACTAAAAATTGCTAGTACACAGTTAAATCTGGATATTAGATAGCTCAGAATCTATTGTAGACTGAGGAAGAGAATGAGGTACTTAAGCTCAGTATAACTAAGTTCCAATCTTTTGTTTGGACAATAAAATCACCTCAGTGATATGTCATCTTATATGGCAATTGATAATAGGTCATGTGGCGGTAACGAGAAATTTGATAAATACTGCCCACAATGTGGAGATCCAGAGGAATTTGTTACTTATGCTATTTAAAAATGCTCACCAACTTTACAAGTTTGATCTTATCAGTGACGCCAACAAGTCCAAATATCTTCTCGGTTCCTACTATTTATGTTAATATGGAATATATTTTCCGGATAAAGAACATCATTGCCGAGCCAGAATTACACAGAGATCATTATCCCTAGATAATCTGGTATATTTGGAAGACACGAAATGATAAACTCTTTAGGAGGATAGATAGACAAGGATACACTGGAATTAAATTCGTTATGAAGAAAATGAGTATCAAGGATGGTTTAATGCAAATGAGATAGTGCCACATATTCCACAAGAGCATAGAATGAAGGAACCCCAAGCCTTAAGCTTGGGTAATATCTGCATGATATCCACATCTCAGTCCAACGGATTTGGATGAGTTTGGATGGATAGTTTGGCAAAAGGTTCAAATTATGGGGACACAAAATTATCTACGACGAGAGTCAGCCTTGCTTTCAGAAATGGAAACATTACGTTAGAAGAAGGAATGTATGCTTTAGCATTCGACATGTCAGACTTTTGGGATGGACTGAAAGGATTTGATCGTCATGATTAAGGAACCTCAAGTCTGGCCTAGTTTTGCAATAGAAATGGAGAAGATAGAGACTCTGCAGATATGTTTCCCGAATTTTATGATCATTCATATTCCACGAGCGCATAATCAAATTTCGGATTCTCTATTTAAAACTGTGAGGTCTTTCTATAAAAGAATTATTTTATTGATTGTTTTATTCGTTCTTGTTATCTATGGTATCTCAAATTTAAATAATAAAATATTTCGTTCAGTGGTAAAGAATACAATAGGTTTAAGTATATGGGCAGCAAAAAATTGTTTGGCCAAAGAATTTTTTTTAAAACTGTTTTAAGCACTTTAAATATGAAACGAAATGAAACGCTTTTATAAATATTTAATATTTCGTTTAAATGTTAAATCAAGTCACAGAACTTTATTTTATATGGTTTGTTCAGTAACACATGGGATGTCTCCTCCTCGTGATCCCATTTAAAGAATCACATCCCATATTTTCTTCTTTTCTTCTTCCTTTTCGCAACCTTTTAGTAATATTATCTTATAATAAGATCAACCATTAATAATAATCAAAGGCAATTACGGTCTATTAAGAAGAACAAGAAAGAGTTGACGTTTGAAGAGACTTCGGTTGTTCGGTTGTCATCCTACAAGCTCCCCAGCTTGACTTAAATGATTTAACTTTTTCTAGACCACTTAATTTCGTAATTATTATATTATCTAGTCTATGATGTGTCTAGCTAATCTTATTATATAAAACTAATTTTTCTATTTTAGTGATATCATGTCATTAAATAAGATAAAGAAAAAATGATATATGGCATTCAAAATTATTTTTACACCAAAAATTAATATTTAATATTAAATAAATTTATTTTATTTAAATGGATTTATCAATTATTTGTTAAAAGTATGAATTTTTTTATTTTGAGATAAAAAATATATTAACAAAACTATAGTATCCATGAATTAAAAAAAAATGTATAAAGTTGAAAATAATCCATAATTTTTATTCTTAGATATTTTATTTTATCAACATTGAAAAATATTAGAAAATACTTATATAATAAAAAATATACATAATGAAATTTAATGTTATTAATAAAATAACAAAATACAAATAGTGAAATTTAATGTTATTCTTATTTTCAATAGATTAAGAAAAATTATATACTCACTAAATTTGAATATATATATATGTATATATATTTTATGTGTGTGTATAACTAAATATTTTAATAGTAGCACATTAGAAATTAATAGCGTTAAATATATAAAAAAATAAGAATACAAACTAAATCAAAAGGAATTAACATATCAAAAAAATACAAAGATTTCCACATAAATTGGCTGAAAATAATCCATAATTTATACATATTCTTAGATGTTTTATGGGAAATTGCCAGAAATAACACTTTCAAGATACCACTTTTCAACTTTACACTAACCAACTTTACCATTAAAATTTTAATAGTCAAGATACTATTAGAATTTAGGGTTTAGGGTTTTGGGTTTAGGATTGATAGTTTAGGTTTAGTGTTGATTTTTTAGGGTTTAGGGTTTACTTTTTAGGGTTTAGAGTTTAGGGTTTAAGGTTTAGAATTGATATTTTAGGGTTTAGGGTTGATTTTTAGAGTTTAGGGTTTATTTTTTAGGGCCTAGAGTTTAGAATTGATGTTTTAGAGTTTAGGGTTAATATTTTATTTATTATATATTTTATGTATATATATAAAGAACAATGATATAAAAGTGTTTTATCATTTAATAAAATGTGTATTTTTGAAAATGTTCCTTTGTTGATGGTAAGTCGTACCACCAAAGTGGTATAATTGAAATTCTCCCATGTTTTATTTTATCAACATTGACAAATGTTAAATTATTTATATAATAAAATAATAAAATAGGAATGATAAAATTTAATGTTATTCTTATTTTAATAACTTAAGAAAAATCAAATTCTCACTAAATCTGAGTATATATATTTTTATGTGTGTGTATCACTAGATTTTTAAAATTAGCACATTAGGAGTTAATATGCATTAAATATATAGGAAAAATCAGACTACAAACTAAATTAAAAGAAATAAACATATTAAACAAATATAAAGATTTCCAGGGGGATTTGCCAAAACCAACCTAAAATTTCATTTCAACCCTAAAGGTGTACCCCTTATTGAGTCAAATGCAAAACCAACCTAAAGGGGTTTTGAAGTTACTACTTGACCCTTGTGACCAAACAAAAAAACAGACAGTTATTTTACGGTTCTGTCCTTTGAAAGTCTACACATAATAGAGAGAAGTCTACACATTTGTAGACCTTCTTAGAAGTCTACTTTGTAGACGTATTCTACAGTCTACATCGTCATTTGATCTTATAATTTAATTTTAAAAATGTATAAAAATAATTTTTGGGAAGTTTTTAAATAAATCATCAATATAAAGATTAGTATGAAATATATAAATTAAAATTTCATA